TTTCGCTCTTGTTACCCAGGCTGGAGTGCAATGGCGCGATCTCGGCTCACTGCAACCTCCACCTCCTGGGTTCAGGCAATTCTCCTGCCTCAGCCTCCTGAGTAGCTGGGATTAAAGGCACGCGCCACCATGCCCAGCTGATTTTTGTGTTTTTAGTAGAGATGGGGTTTCACCATGTTGACCAGGATGGTCTCGATCTCCTGACCTTGTGATCCACCCACCTCGGCCTCCCAAAGTGCTGGGATTACAGGCGTGAGCCACCGCACCCGGCGATAGTTTTTTTCTTAAAGTGATCTTCTCAGATTCATTCTCTTTATAAAAAGAGTACCCACCTTGTTACATGGTGTGCATATCCTGTCAGAGAGAAGACTGCCTCAAATCCAAGTTACTTTAGTAAATCAACAAAATTTTATCTGTGTGGGGCACACAGGATAAATAACAAATAAATAAATAATAAATAAAGTAACATAAATAAATAATGATAGTGAGAAAGGCACTATGTGAAGCACTCCAAATTGTTTGGCTTGAGTAGGTTGTCAACTTCTCACCTTGAGTCTGGCGCCTTAGACTCAAGGTGAGAAGTTGACAACCTGTTCCAATCAGCCATCCTGATGCTCTGTCAACTTACAAGTGCCCAAATGGGAAGGAAATTTACATGTTGGGGTAAGCTGGTTGAGATGGCTGTGAAGGTGTGCTCTAAGCCTGAGATTCAATATGGGTTTGTTGAGCAGACACTGGGCTCTCTAGTGGGGTCTCTATGATTGTTTCTTTTTTCACTAAAAGATAATTTATTTGCTCAGAATCAACATTTATTGGACATGAACTTTCTTTTTTTAAATTTTTATTTATTTATTTTTTAAAAGATGGGGTTTCACCATGTTGGTCAGGCTGGTCTTGAACTCCCGACCTCAGGTGATCCGCCCGCCTTGGCCTCCAAAGTGCTTGGATTACAGGCGTGAGCCACCACACCTGGCCTAAACTTTTCGTTTTTTTAAGAGAAAGAGATAGGAAGAATGTTTCAAAGATGCCTCCTTGTGCGTATATACAAAACAGTGGGCCTACTGGACCAGTCACCTCTACCTTCATCATTTACCACAGTACAGCTTGGTTACTGAGGAGAGACTGGGTTGTTTCTGAGATCAGCTGGAGGGGAAAAAGAAATGCCTCATCTCACAGCATGGAAAAAGCCATCTAATATTTACTTCTGAAAAAACTGAGCATCTGGTTACACAAAAGTTTTGAGAATTTTAATGATTCTCCCAAATTCAACCCTTTATCAAACCAATTTATTAAGGGACCTTAAGGTTAATAATATAGACATGTGCAGTACAAGTTTATCCTATTTACATAAAGAAACATTAAAAATTCAAGATACCTTTGTAACAGAATCAGAAGTTCAGCAGTTGAACACAGCAAAATAAAATGTGTAATAGTCTATTAAATATCACTTTCTTTTTGTCAGATTGCCAAAAGAAACATAAATGGCCAGTGAAGTTTTAGAACTCTGTAAGTACAAGGCCGCTAATGGGTCAAAAATAAGAAAATTTCATTTTTACAGTTTCAAGAAACTTCTGAAGAATACCCACCAAGTCACCGTAAAAAGCAGTATCTTCTTCATAATCCAGCCAAAGATGGAAATTCTCTCAAATGAGAAAGATAGGCTGTGAACTGGGGTTGGTGTCAGGGCTATTAAAAAACCTCCTCCAATTTAAGTCAATAAGGTGAAAATGGTAAGAGGATATTTTGTTAACAATATATAAAAGGAAAAGGAAAGAGGCTAATTCATAACAAATGAAAAAGTGTTGCAAATAGGTTAATTTATCTAATTTACCTTGGGCCAAATGGAAGTTATATTAATTTGTCCTTTAAAAGGTGTATAATAAAGCACACCAGTTCACTGGGAATAAGTACAGAAAAATAAAAAAAAAATGAAACATTTGTCAACAATATATAGGGCTGTTTGTAAGGACTGAGTTTGAATAACCAATAACAAAGTATCTTTCATTACAGGAGATGACTGTTATATGCAAGTAATGGCAGCCTTTTACATTCCTAACGTTAAAAATAATGGAAGGAATTTTGGACACAGAAACACACACCAGTGGTCATACATATGAAATAAAAAAAAAATAAAGTGAATTATTGGACAGGATTCCTGAGACAGATGAACCTGGCTCTGATCTTATCAAGAAATTCTTATGGTCTTTCCCCCGACTCCCCCCAGGAATTTAGTTCAATAAAAGTTCCTAAAAACAAACAGAATGAATCAGAGTCACTGAGTACAGCCACAGGCTGGTGGGAAATGAGCTGCTGTCAATCCCAGCTTCATCGAGGCACTTGTAACAAGCATTCCTTGTTTCTATCAGGTTCGGGTACCTAAAGCTTGTTGTTTACAGAGTGTGGATGTAATCTCACAGTATCCCACTTCCTCTCCAATAGTTGGATAAGCTGTGATTCAATTATTTGATAGGCTAGAGGCCAGTGACAGAGCAGTGGAAGTCTACAGTATTGATCTCTGATGGTGTGTGCAACGATTTGATTTGTGGGGGGATAAAGGTGATGGGGTTTGGGAAGAGAACAGGCAGCATAAACACTGTCAATGCTCAAATAGAAGTTTTCAACTGGTAGGCCCATTGGAAGGTCATCTTGAATTCCACAGGAGGCAGACGTGTTCCCATAGAATAAATCATTGTTTAAAATCTGTGCTGGAGGATAAATAAGGCACTAAGTCAGTGTTAATGGTACAAAAATCCAAAATACAGCCTCAAATTGCATTTGTTTTCCTTTTTGCCTCTTGGGAAATAAATCCAGGAATGTTTATGGGGAGTAGTCACCCTGCTCCTCGTAATTTCTGGCATGGACAGCCACCAGATAGTGTCAACTTAAAGTGTTTTCTGTTTTGTTTTGCATTCTTTTCTTCCTGAAAAGTAATTCCTGGAATACTTGGGGGTGGGAGGAATGGAAGTGGACAGTTTGTTTAGCACAGACACAAGGCTTAAAAGAAAGGAAAGCCATCTCTAGAGGGGTAGATCAAGCATCCAAATGAAAGAGAAAGTTCTGTGGAATGAAATGTTCTCTTGGGAGACATGAACCCGTTTCTGACACTCTTGGTATGGGGGTCACTTTCCTGGCTGCCACAAAAGGACAGTGTGGCCCCATGGAGTCAACACCACTGCCCAGACCCCCTGATAAGGGACTCACTGTGTCTGGGAGGCATCTTGTTGCCTGCTTGGCAGAAGAGCCTGGGACACAGCTCCTGGTGGTACCATTTTGCCAGGCCTCAAAAGGAAATGGCAATGATGGTCATTCTGTAAAGGATGACATCCTCTCCTCTCAGCACATACAGATAGTGACAGTGAAGGAGCCCCATGACATCAAGCCTATGAGTGTCCCATGGCTTGGATGAATACTCCCGGAGACAATTTGGAAACTAACAAGGAAGTTTTAGGTTTTTTTTTCTTTTCTCCCTTTAGATAACCTTTTGAAAACCAACCCAGGTTGCTTCTGTTTGTCTGAGTGTGAACTTGATAGGTTTGTTTGTTTCCACCCCTACTCTGCTTCCTTCTTTCCTTTATATTATTTTAGAGGCAGGGTCTTGCTGTGCTACCCAGGCTGGTCTCAAACTCCTGGCCTCAAGCAATCCTCCTGCCTTGGTCTCCCAAAGTGTTGAGATTACAGGCATGAGCCATTGCACCCAGCCTCCTTTTTTTTTTTTTTTAAATCATCACCAAAGCAATGTTTACTTAATGAGGATTACTGGCAGGATAACTCTCAACTCAAACATGGATTGTGTCTTGGTAAATATTTAGAGTCTTATGGGCTGGCTATTCTTGGTGAGGAATTTCAGTGAGAATCTCCCAATTAGTCATAAAAACATGCTACCCTTAAAACTACAGCTTCCTTCCAGCTCTCTTGACCAACTGGTTAACTGTCTATGGAAGCAATACCTGCAAATAACAAGAAGGGAAATTATGTGATCACTGGATAACCCATATTCGCCATTCTAGATTAAGAAAATCCATTGGATAAGATTCATAGGCTCCTCCATCACTTTTGTGACATTTAGAAATTGTCTCCCCGGATGTGGTGGCTCATGCTTGTAATCCCAGTACTTTGGTAGGCTAAAGCAGTGGATCACAAGGTCAGGAGATCGAGACCATCCTGGTCAGCACAGTGAAACCCTGTCTCTCCTAAAAATACAAAAATTAGCCAGGCATGGTGGTGGGTGCCTGTAATCCTAGCTACTCGGGAGGCTGAGGCAGGAGAATCGCTTGAACCCAGGAGGCGGAGGTTGCAGTGTGCCGAGATTGCGCCACTGCACTCCAGCCTGGGGACAGAGCAAGACTCTGTCTTAAAAAAAAAAAAAAAAAAAAAAAATCAGATCTCTAGAAACAAAAAAGAATAGTTGAGTGTCTCCTTGCTCTGAAAACACGTGTGTATTCTGGTCCTGAAGAACAGTCCCTAGCACAATGTCTAGTTTTGTGTTAATGTTATTGATGCCAAAGTGACTCAACATGATGTCCCACTGAAATGGCAACAATCCAAATCTCCACCAGGGTTTTTGTGGTGCTGTGTTCTTTTCATCCACATCTGCCACTGGAAACTGTGGATCTGTTTTCCTTTGCGGATTCTCAGGGAGGACCTGGTACTGATTCTATCAAGATAGGACAAAGATTATTTCAAGAAAAAGATTATACATTATAATGCTTAGCATTTATATAGGTTCTTTTGATTTCAAAACGAGTTATAAATATTTCCTACCGTGACAACATCCTTGCGAGGTAGGTGAGGACTGCCATCTACGTTACCAAGAGAAGCCCAAGGCCGAGAACTGAGAACCTCTGCTTTGAGTCACAGAGTCAGGAACAGCATTGGAACTGGACATTCCAGCCACCTGCCCTGGGCTCTGAAGAGGCTATGCCTCTCCCTCATGTAGCAGTGGTTTCCATTAATACAGGGGTATGTATTGTATAGATATAAAACAACAACACACAATTATGTTATAGAACAATAATTCAATATTTCTGTTTCTTAGTAAAATATGTTAAGCACGGTTATTTAAATTGCATTTCTCTGAAAAGCATTTGGTATATTAAATAGCAGGTATATTAAATAGCTCTATAAATGTTTGCTGGCATACTCTTAACAGCATAATGATTCTAAGGAAATTAAAATCCACTGGCGCATAGAGATCATTCCTTTATAATACCATAAACTAAACAAGAATGTGAAAAACTACTTTATTCTCAAAATGCAGACTTGATAGCTTGCTGGATATTAGCAGGTGGCTACATAATTTTTCTGAGCTCAGGAGAAAGGATACATATTGCTGACTGTGGTTCTTTTAAAATACCAATTCGGTAGGGAAAAAGAGATGCTATTGAAAGGTGAAAATGAAAGACTGCTATCTCCACTTTGCAGCCATTCTGAGAAATTCATATGTTTTCAAAAGATATTATCAGAGTTAGAGGTAATGTTGAAGTGAATACAGAAAATGCTGTATAATAGGAACATTTTGTGAGAAGAGAAAATGATACCAAATAAAACCTATGGTGTAAGAGGAAAATAAGTAAGACCCAAAAGGATCTTTTTCAAGGGTGTTGAAGGCTGGCATGAGATGTAAGCTGTTCATGTTTCGCTGACTGTATAGGTCTTGGAGATGATTTGCAAGGATAAACACTTGGTTTTATCAATCTCTTCTCCAAGGCAAAATCCTCATCTTCCTCTCTAAATCAGCAGTTCTCAGAATGGTGTTAAAGAGCTCACCTCATGCTAAGCTTCCTAGCAACTGACCAGGTGGATCAGCAGAAAAAGTTCTAAAACTAGAAAGGAACAGGAATCGAAGTCTTAAAATTTGTATGCAAACGTAAAAACTAACTTCTACGCCAGAATGACATTCTCTGTCAGAGGTAATAAATACAAAAGTCTTAATTTTAGTGTACACGACGCTAAGATATTGTTAGATAGGTATTATGTGTCATTCAGAGAATATTTTTATAAGTGTGCTTTTTCCCTAAAAAAAAAGACATATTAAAGTGTTTTCTCTCTTCCAGTCCTTTATGTATAAATAAGAAATGCCGAGCTGCTGTATCAGTCTGTTCCTTCCCGTTATACGCTCCAGGCCTCCTTCCTACCTGCATCGTCTGTGGTAGTTTTGTTGGAGGGGGGTTTGAGTTTGAACAGGCTGGAGCAGTTCGGCTGCTTGGTTGGCTGTAAGGTTTTGGCATACGGTGAATACCAGTCCCTTTCGAACACGCCTTTAAGTTGCTTAATGATGCTTCTGTTGTTCCTCACATCTGCCTGGTTGATAACAAGGCCCGTGCCAGCATTCTGGGTGAAATCATTCCCTACCCAATCAAAATTTCCTGCAAACAAAGAAATAACGTTGAAGAGTTAGAGTCCACTGGGAAGATACCCGATATAATGGAATTCAGAGTGCAGTCTATTGAAAATCATCAACACCCAGGAATAACAACAGAAGAGGGTGAATTGTGTTGACAGCTCCGAAAATAAAATTCCAAGAAGCCTTACATATGGCATATTAATATTTACATATTATTTTGGCATTTTCTTCAGCTTTGCTCCAGTGGAAACTCAAAACAAGGAATCTGCTGTTCTTTCTCGTAAATGTTATTTCTTATTGACATTCACAAGCCATGCTAAATACAGCAACATTTAAAACATATAGGGATACATTTAAAAATCCTGTGAGTAATTATTACCTTCTCAAAGAGACAACATCTAATTCATGAGAACAAATGAGGGATTCTAATTATAGAGCCCTGAAGCTTTCACATCAAAGAAAAAGTGAAAGCTAGAGAAAGAAACTCAGTATCTAACAAATACTCCTTGATTGGGCTGTAAATCATTTCCCAGACCCAGGATCCGGCCCCTTGGCGCAGGAAGTGGGGCAGGTGCTGTGAGAACGGGCTGAGTATGACTACCCTGCGTGAGGTGGTGCAGTCACGTTTTTTCAGCTGCCATAGCAAAGTTCCACAAATTGGGTGACCGGAACTACAGAAATGTATTGCCTCACAGTTCTGGAGACAAAGCCCAGGTGTTGGGAGCGTTGATGCTGATGCCTTCTGAGGACTGTGAGGAAGGGATCCGCTCCAGGCCTTTCTCCTTGGTTTGTAGATGGGCATTTTCTCTGTGACATTATCTATTTTCTTTTTCTTTCTTTATTTTATTGGTTCTTCTCATTTTAAAATTTATTTTATTTTATTTTGAGACAGAGTCTTGTTCTGTCGCCAGGCTGGAGTGCAGTGGCACGATCTCGGCTCACTGCAACCTCCACCTCCTGGGTTCAAGCGATTCTCCTGTCACAGCCTCCCGAGTAGCTGGGATTACAGGTGTGCCACCACACCAGGCTAATTTTTTGTATTTTTAGTAGATACAGGCTTTGACCATGTTGGCCAGAATGGTCTTGATCTCTTGACCTTGTGATCTACCTGCCCCAGCCTCCCAAAGTGCTGGGATTACAGGTGTGAGCCACTGCGCCCGGGCCTTTTTTTTTTTTTTTTTTTTTTTTTTTTTTTTTTTAACAGTTTTAAATAGAGATGGGGTCTTGCTATGTTGCTCAGGCTGCTCTCAAACTCCTGGGTTCAAACGATCCTCCCACCTCAGCCTCCCAACATGCTGGGATTCCAGGGGTGAGCCACCGTGCCCGACCTCTCCAGGACATTTTGTACGTCTCTTCGTGTTGTCTTCCTCTATGCACGTCTGTCCAAATTTCCCCTTTTTACAAGAATATTGGCCATATTAGATTAGGGGTTCGCTAATGACCTCATTTTAACTTGGCTATTTCTCTAAAGACCCTGTCTCTAAATGGAGTTACATTCTGAGGTACTGGGGGCTAGGACTTCAAATATGAATTTTGGAGAGACACAATTCAGCTCATTTAAAGGATTAAGTCTGGGATCTGCCCCAGAAAAGACTAATAATGTCTACGCCACTCCTGTGCGGTCCATCTTTGAAGTGTAGGGGAAGTGGTCGCCTAGGAGAGCTACAGTAATGCCATTCAGCTTGACCTTGAGACTAACAAGGCGTATTCCTTGCCAGTCACAACCACGATCATAAGATGTTTACAACTGAGAAAACAGTCTAAAGACATCCCAAAGGATACTCTCCTGCAGCAGTGCCAAGTCCAGATGTCCCGATACCCGTAACAGTACCTGCTTTCAGGGTAGTTCTAGTTAGGCTTCAATGTACATACACGCTGGAATGTCATTTCACACGAGAATGTTTTCTTCAAACCAAAAGAATCATAAATTCCTCATGCTGTCAGCTCACTCACGCATAGACACAGCCTAGCTTAGCTTTTACATAGATAAGACCCCTACACAAGAAAAACAAACACACCACATTCCTCCACTTGCTTTCTGAGGACGCCCTGCTCTATAACTGAGTAGTTTTCCTTCCCTTCTTTTCTCTCTTCCTTTCTTTTTTCCTTCCTTCTTCCCTCCCTCCCTCCCACTTTCTTTTTCTTTCTTTCTTGAGACAGTCTTGCCCTGCTGCTCGGCTCACTGCAACCTCTGCCTCCCAGGTTCAAGCAATTCTCCTGCCTCAGCCTCCTGAGTAGCTGGAATTACCACACCCTACTACTTTTTTGTATTTTTAGTAGAAATGGGGTTTCATCACGTTGGCCAGGCTGGTCTCGAACTCCTGACCTCAAGTGATCCACCCGCCTCAGCCTCTCAAAGTGCTGGGATTACAGGAGTGAGCCACTGTGCCAGGCCTGATTTATTTATTTTTAGAGGCAGAATCTCTCTCTTGCCCGGGCTAGAGTGCAGGGGCCTGATCATAGTTCATTGCAGCCTTGAACTCTTGGGCTCAAGCAATCCTCCCACCTCAGCCTCCTAAGTAGCTGTGACTACAGGTGCAAGCCACTGGAACCAGCTTCTACTTGGTATTTATATATGGTTGGTGGGACTTACTTCCACTTCATAGGTGAGGACTGGGAGGCTCAAAGAGGTGAATAAATTTGCCGAATCAGTAGCTAATCAATGGTGCACCCAGGTCTGCCAGACTGTATGATAAGCCGGGATTATTCTCACTAAAAAAATATCTAGCCATGTCAAGATGGACAAAAATTGTCTTCAAAATTACCACCAAGCCAGATCTGATCTAAGCTCCCAGTTTTGTTCTCCTCTTTGGATCAGAGCTGATTCCATAATGGGAACTGACAGGTTTTAGATATAGAGATTGATCTTCCATGTCCTCTGCAGCAACTCAGGTACCGCTGCAGAAATCACTAAGAAGCTGAGATCATCCATCTCCTTGGTATCCCTGGCCCAAGGGCCTGCAGCCATCTGCGGGAGAAGCTGCTGGAAGAAAGCACATCTATGGAGAGAGCCAGTATCTATTCCTTTGTAGCTTTCATCTTTTGATCCCTGCTCTGTTTGCCTGAAACCCTCAAACGTGTCAATTCCCTTTTCCATTTGGCACACCAGGGAATATCAGAAGGTGGTCTCTTGTCTCTCATTTTACTCCTTAAGTTTATTCCTCAGCGCCTAAGAACACAGGTCCCTAAACCAAGTATCAGCACAGAGAGGGATCTGCCCCCTTTTGCTTTCTCTCTCTCCCCTCATCCCAACCGATTATCTGCCCCCCTCAAGAAAGAGCACAATGGCAAATGGTACTCTCAGTGGCTTCATGATAGAATAGCTTTGAATAATAATAATAATAATAATTATTATTATTATTTTTAGCTGGAGTTTTGCTCTTGTTGCCCAGGCTGGAGTGCAGTGGGTATTCACAAGCTTGATTCCACCACTGATCAGCACAGGAGTTTTGACCTGCTCCACTTCCGACCTGGGCTGGTTCACCCTCCTTAGGCAACCTGGTGGTCCCCTGCTCCCAGGAGGTCACCATATTGATGCCGAACTTAGTGCGCATACCCAATCGGCATAGCGTACTACAGCCCAGAACTCCTGGGCTCAAGTGATCCTCCCACCTCAGCCTCCCAAGTAGCTGGGACTACAGGCACGCGCCATTGTGCCCAGCAGTAGTTACTATTATTAGCCCCATCTTACAGATGAGAAAACTGAGGTTTGAAGAGCTCAAGTAAATTGTACAAAGCCAGACATTTGGGAGATGGCAGGGATGGGATAATGGGCTGGGCACTGACCCACTCCACTGTCTTCCTCCCCACCACTCAGGTCAGGCTGGCTTGTGGTGCTGTGGGCAGGGGAATGACACTGTGCTCGCTCCAGTACAGGACACACCTTTGATGAGCCATTCCCACCCTTGCCTGTACAATGTGGCAAATGGGTCAGAAAATTTCTACAAAACACTTATGGAAAGGCATCTTATATGTCTTCTAGTACATGGAATCAGGCCATGGAAGAGATACTTGAACGACAAGCTCCCTGTCCTCACCAATCCCGTTTGCTGACCTCCAGCTCCCCCCATTCACCAGCAGTGGCTCCCAAGGCCTTGCTTCCTCGACAGGGGGTACCACGGAGCGCAGCTGGACTACCACTGCCTGGGTGACCTGTCCTAAGGAGCCTCACAGCCCTGACACCTACCAATATAAGCTGCTCCATCTGTCACCATGTACTTGTTGCGATTTAACCGAGGAAAGGTGTGGTTCTTTTGTTCTTTTGTGGCACAAGCGTTTTCTCTTTCCAGATCAAAAAATTTCTGTAAGACAAAAAAGAAACAAACAAAAAAGCAGGTAAATCAGGAACGTTTCTGATCTTGTCCAAGAGCGCAAAAGAATGCATTATCCACAGGTTAACAATAGACCTCATGTTGGGTTATTAAAGCCATAATCTTATTACCTCATATGGATGAGGCTATTTTTGTTCTCAAATCTATATAGGCAACAAGAGAAAATTAGCATGCTCAACTAGGTCTATAATGAACACTTTTAAGCTACGAAATGAACACAAAATTCATTTTCCTTTTTCAGCAGGATGAGGGCCAGAAGGTTGTTTAATTCTCATTGTCTTATTCATCAGGGTGTGCTGGCATTTGAAGCATGCCTCACGGTGCTCCCTGTCAAGCATGCCAATGAACTGAATGAGGATTCTCACATGTTGCATGCATTATGTCGATGACTAGCTGATTAAACTGGGGATTTGCAAAGGTCAAAAGAGATTCTGCCACAGGAACAAATACTTTTCCATCTAAACACCTAAGTCTAGGAGCTCTTTTGATAGGTCAATCAAAAATAGAAAATCACAACTTCAAACCCTGAGTTCTGAATTTCAACATTCGTTGACCGAAAAGGCAACATTCCAGTTCACCCAAGGCCAGAAATGGGGCAGCTAAAAGAAGGGGGATGACTGCAGGGATAGCCAGGCTATGCCTCAGGGGTCTGCTGATTTGCTAAATTCTCAGATGAGGCTTAAACTGTAGCTAAGCCCATGGAACTCCATGACTGAGCTCACTGAAAGACATTGGTCTAAGGTGAAAATCTCGGGTATCCCCTACATTGGGAAATGCTGAGCATTTTCAGAACTGTGGAACCTTTGGAATATCTTACAGCTATAGGATCATGTGTATTTAAAGGAAAGAAGAGGCAGAGAGGAAAATGGCATGATGCCTAGAAAAGGAGATGTCATTTACAGTTTTAAAACTGTAAGCGTTCACATTTGGTTTGGGGAAATAATGACAGCTGGACTTCCTCCTCCCCCAGCGTGGTAGAAGGTGATAAAATCGATGATCACTAAGACCCCTTCTAGCCTCAAAAGTTCTATTCTGATTTTTTGTAAAAATCCTTGAGGTCCACAGTACAGAGATCAAAATCTACCTAAAAACTGTCTATTCCACGACACAGATAAACATGCTGTGTCTTCCAGGGCCATATCACCACGGTTACAATGACACGTGGTTCATCCAATGTCCTCAGCACCTGTCTTCTGCAAAATCTGCATTGGTTTCTGGACTCTTCAAACTGACTTAATAATCTGTGAGTGTTCTGAAGTCACAGTTATATATTCATGAGGTCATCATAGCCAGAAGTTACTTAGCTTGGACATTCTATAACAACACATGGCCACACATGTGAATGCTTCCTTTTAGGGAAGATATTATTGTAGAATCAAGATGCATTTCAGAAAGAATAAAATATACATCTTGAGTTAAGTCAAGGATAGAGTCACAGCTTGAGGCTTCAGTAAAAACCCATTTGCTCTAGAAAGTCAAAGATGGCCCTGAAGAGGGGAAACAGCTTTCTCTGGAAGACTGAAATGACAGCAGAAAGCAGATTTTATGCACTGGTAGTATTAGATACCTAATACACTGTGGGCGACAGCAAAGACATTTCAAAGGTGATTTATTAATTTGTAAAAAAATTCTAAAAAATCAGATGACTGGGACAATTTTGTGTGTCACAGTCTCTTCTCCTTCCATGATCCCTCATGGAGACAAACCCACATCAGGGTGGGAGGTGGCTGGAGGTGGGCCTGCCCACTCCTTTAAGAACAGAGAGCCCCTACCTAGTTCCCAGGCTCCTGAAGACATACCCTATGCAGATTCCAGTGCTCACTTTTCCTGGAAGAGTTTATTATGTGTCTGTGTTCTAGACTTTGGGGCCGTAAGCTGCTTGTCCGTCTAGACTTGTATTGATGCTTAGAAAGGTATGGACTCAGTTTTATAAAATGGCTATGCGTGAACTATTAATGTTTGGTTTATTCAAAAAATGTGACCACCTGCATTCAAAAACATCAAAAAGATGAAGCTGGTTCAGTCCTGTAAAGGTTGCAATGATGGATTCTACCTTCCTTGTAATTTTTTGCAATTCTTAAATGACAGCAATTAACATTTCACGACCTCGAGGTTTCCACTGCCGGTGCCCTAGTGGCAGGTGTGCTGTGGGGGTCAAGAAACAGTGGGTGGGCATGAACCCGTGACTCGGCCAGAGGGGAATCTGGAAGAGGAGATTGGAGCAAATGCACCAGATGGTACACCAAAAGCCCTAGACTGTCCTCTCTGCTCCTGCTAGACCTTGCAAGTAACAGGGGCTCTTCTGCGTGTGAGTGTGCTGACCTCCAGAGTGCCTGACTTCACTGGGCAGCCTCTTCACGGGCAGTCACCCTTTCCCAGCACACACCTGCAGAAAATGGCTAACACACCTTGGACTCAGGCACTGTCCTGGGCTCTGTGCTGTCCCCTCACTGGCTTACAGATCTTTCTTATCACTCTGCCTTTATTAGCTCCCTTCTTATTTTCATTTTTGAGATGGAATCTCAAAAATCTCTGAGGTGGCTGGCAAAATATTAGGGCAAGTGAGAAGATTATAGCCTCAAACTTTTTGGAAGGCTGAAAGGTTTTAATGGAACAGGCTGAAGGCAGCCAGTTCATTACATTAGAATTTTAAGGCAGAGGGTAAAAGACAGGGATGACAAAAGCTTCCCCAGTTAAGTCTGTTTACCCCACATCCTTTTGTCTCTGTTCTGTTTACTCATGTTAACTTCGTGCTGGATGGGTCCTCTCAGAAAGAGGTCCAAGAGGAATTATCAATTAATGGCATTTACTCTGGCCCCAGAACCAAAAGCTTTTATCATTCGTAAAACCACTCTTTTTTAACCATGTTAATTACCCACAAGCTTGTTGACTTAGAACCTCTGTTATTAAATCTATACTGAATAAACGTGAGGAAGTACAAGGAGTCATAGTCAGTTAGCTGCAATCCCCCTCTGAAAGCAGACAACCATCCCTAGCCCACTCAAAACCACCGTACTAGGTGTGAGAGTGCATTCATTCATCCATCCTTAAGTCAAGGTCTGCAGGACAGGCCTCTGCAGGTGGTAATCAACGTCCCAGGTGGCCACAGTTTCTGGGTATTTTTTGGTGCATGTCGGAGAGTTGTTACTGTTTTGTTTCAGTTTTTACATTGACAAACTATATATAATGTACCACTTTCAGGCTTGATGTCCAGAAATGCACATCACTGGAAGACCCCATGTAGCAACTGCATGAAACTTTGCATGTTCTCCCTTATGGGAGGTGGGAATGAGGGTTCTTTTTGAGGGAAGATGAGTAAAATGGATTGTGTGTAGCAGGAACTTCAGACCACGATGAATCACAAACCTGTTCCTTTGTCACCCTGGAAACACAGCTGACTTTCTGAACACGTGTATAAGCCTCTCTTGCCATTATGTGTAGCCATGTGAGAGATAGCCAGGCAGTGGGATGACGGCTAAAGGGATGTTCACTACCTCCAGGCCTAACCCCAACATGCCTCTCACACAGTCCTCCAATTTCTCTCTTCTCCTGTCTGGCCTTGGGATATTCAGGTCAGGGCGCTCTTGGAAGCCATGTGTCAAAGTCAATTGCAGACCCCTTGATACCCTGGATCCCTAAATGCTGCGAGGAATGCAGCTTCGTTACCTAGAAGAGAGCCTGCCACAGGCTAGATTCCCAGAGCAGGTTTGTTAAATGACTGCACAGGGGGTTGGGAAAAGTGGAGAGCGAAAGGATTAGTAGCTATGAGGCCAGTAAACATGGAGAAAGAGAGTGTCAGAGGCAGAAGGAATCGTTTGCACAAAGCCTTGAGGGGATGAAGAGGGTAGTCAGAGATGAGCTGGAGAATGAGCCCATTTCAGGTACTCCCAATTCCCGGTCTTACCTCCCTCAAGTGTCTCCAGAGGCAGATTAGTGTGTGGCCCAAGGGACCTGGGGCAAGCACAGGAACCCAGACTATGAGGCCTCTGGGCTAGGGTAGTTTGTGCTGGTGCATGCTCCAATGCTCCGTTGATCACATTTTACAGCTAAGAACAGTAGGTGAATGGGGTAATTCAAGGAAAATGAAGAGGGCTGGGTACAGGGGCTCATGTTGGCAATGCCAGCACTTTGGAAGGCCAAGGTGGGCAAATCGCTTAATCCCAGGAGTTCAAGACCAGCCTGGGCAACATGGTGAAACCCCATCGTGACAAAAAATGCAAAATTAGCTGGACATGGTGGCATGCACCTGGGGTCCCAGCTACTCTGATGAGGGAGCTGAGGTAGGAGGATTGCTTGAGCCTGGAAGTCAAGCCTACAGTGGGCCAAGATTGTGCTACTCCACTCCAGCCTGGGTGACAGCAGAACCCTGTCTAAAGGAAAAAAAAAAGAAAATGGAAAGGATGCAACTGAAAGTGAGAAGAGGGTAGACAGAGAAGGCATCAGGAAATGTAAGCGCTACTCTCCTTTTTTGTATGTGACTGTTTTGAAAAATTACTTAACCTGCTTTTTGAAGACCGTCATCCTGGTTCTTACTGGAAGTTTACAGGTGTGTGTATGCTCATAGCTATCCCACATATGCAGAAGGCATTCACTTTTTCTTTAATAACACAGTCAACATAATACTTACAACTTTCAAACTGCAGTTGGCTATCTCAGTGCAAATCGCTTTAAGAGATGAAATAAAGTTAAACGTAAGGGGATCCGTTTCCTTCCAGAAGCTTATAAGGAGTCGAACTCTAACGCTTCGTAAAACTAATGCTTCTCTTATTTTTCCATCCAAGTCCGGCCAGTAAGTCCTGCAGAAATCATATCCATATAGTAAAAATAAAGAAACTAAGTTAGTTTGGGGAAAGAAATTTACTAGGCAGCATAGAACGCTGATATTAGTCTGATGGTTACTTTATTTGAGGCTGAAAAACATGCAAGCCTCTTTGCTTAGGCACCAAGGGATGATGCTTTCCTGGGACCTGCCCCTGCCTAAAAGGAAGTCTCCCACTGGCAGGTCCTTGGGCTGCGTGGGCCGAGGTGAGGACAGACTGACTGCCACCACAGGCCACCTCACCACACCTCTGATTCTACCTGGGCCTCAGTGCACTAAGAACTGATCCAATAGAATCCCAGTTAAGAATCCTGAGCACCCCTCAATCCCCAGATGCCACTAAAACCTCTCTTTGGTGACTGCCCCTGAAAGGAACTTCTGCTCTAGCCATCTCAGCTTCCCCACACTTTCATTTCCCGACTGTCCTTAACTTGGTATCTCCTGACCAAGCCTCCCATGACTCCCATGCCTTCCACCTTTTCTGCAGGGCCTTTGGAATTCCAACAGGCAAAGTTTCTCTGACAGGCCCGGCCTTTTCCCTGAATTCTTAAGCCTTTGCCTTAACTCAAACCTGATTCTGCCCTAAGGCCACAGCTTCTCCTGAAGTCCTGCGGTGCATTTTCTAGCAGGACCTGGCCACTTGGCTTAAGATGAAGGACAGCCTCTCACTCTGCCTCTGCAGGCCCCAAACACATATGGTCACTTCCAGAATGGTCATTTAATTCTCATGTTAAAACAAAAAGCTTTCCCATCTTAGGGACCAAGGCTTCAATCACTCTCCCTCCCCTCAGAGCTGATATTTGTAGACTTTTTGTTTACTCATCAAACTGTTGCCCTAATTCTGCACCAATTCACTATTTGAACCAATGATGTATTATTTGACACTGTAGTCCACCAGTGCCATGATCACTGCACCTCTAAAGGCCCCCTGTCCTTCTGATTCCCCACTCCCACTCTCTTTTTTCTTTCTCTCTCTCTCTTTTTTTTTTTTTTTTTTTTGAGATGGAGTCTTGCTTGTTCCGCAGACTGGAGTATAGTGGCATGATCTTGGCTCACTACAGCCTCCGCCTCCCAGGTTCAAGAGATTCTCCTGCCTCAGCCTCCTGAGTAGCTGGGATTACGGGCACACGCCACCACACTCGGCTAATTTTTCTATTTTCAGTAGACACAGGGTTTCACCATGGTGGTCTTGAACTCCTGACCTTGTGATCCACCTGCTTCAGCCTCCCAAAGGGCTGGATTACAGGTGTGCGCCACTGTGCTGGGCCCATCTTTTAATTGCTCTTTCATCCCACGCAGCCTGCAGATTCATGATGTCTTCAGTCTGCTGGGACCATCAGCTCCTCCTGTCTCCTTTGCCTGCCCAGTCTAATCTCAGTTCTGATCACTTGAAAGATACTCTCCTCTCAACCTTCCTTTTGCTCTTGGTGAAAATCTGGATCCTGGATCAATGCTACAGTTCTCTTTGTCTGGTTTTATACCCATGAAGCTGAGGACTACAGGAAAAGGCATCTCAGTGCTCCAAATTGGTTTCTCTGCCTCCAGTCAGGTGCTTCCTGGATGACCACCAGGGTGATCCATCTAAAGTATACCTGGTCATGTTACCTCTTTTTTTTTTTTTTTTAAGAAAAAGTCTTACTCTGTCACCTAGGCTGGAGTGCAGTGGCACGATCTCTGCTCACTGCAATCTCCGCCTCCCAGGATCAAGTGATTCTCCTGCCTTAGCCTCTCAAGTAGCTGGGACTACAGGCATGTACCACCATGCCTGGCTAATTTTTGTATTTTTAGTAGAGATGGAGTTTCACCATGTTGGCTGAGGCAGGAGAATTGCTTGAACCTGGAAGGCAGAGGTTGCAGTGAGCCAAGATCATGCCATTGCACTCCAGCCTCGGTGACAAGAGCAAAACTCCGTCTCAAAAAAAAAATTGTTGAATAAATACATAAATAAAAAGTATTAATACCTCAAAGACTAACGAGGCTACAGTTTTATTAGTCCTTCACACATTTACTAATTTCCTTGTGAAAGATATATTTCATGTGACTGAAGCAATAAATAATGAACAACCCCAAACTGAAACCTAAATAATTGACTTGCTTAAGAAAGAGAGCTTGATTGCTAAATCAGGAAGAAGTGAAATAGGGCTTCTGAATTTTTACTGTAGGATTTATTTAGATCATTGCTCCATTCCCTTCCTACTACCTTGAAAAGTAGAAGTTATTTCTCACACTTGCTAAATAACAGTGTGTGTTTTTATACAGGCTGTTAATCATTTCTATTTTGGGAGTGTATGGTTTTTTTCTCTTTCATTTCGATGTTCAGCAATGTATAGACTAACAGTCTGAAAGGTATTAACTAGTTCCATTAACATGCTGAAATTGGATAGTATTGACCTATTTATTGAAGTTGAATTCACTCCTGAAAATCTTCTCCAGGACTAGATAATGATTAGTAACTAGTCTGAATTTATACAATTAATTACTTTATCTGATTGAGAAGAATTTAATTATAATCTTGATCTTTGGACTACTTCTTTTTTTTTTTTTTTTTTTTTTTTTTTTTTGAGACGGAGTTTTGCTCTTGTTACCTAGGCCGGAGTGCAATGGCGCGATCTCGGCTCACCACAACCTCCGCCTCCTGGGTTCAGGCAATTCTCCTGCCTCAGCCTCCTGAGTAGCTGGGATTACAGGCACGTGCCACCATGCCCAGCTAATTTTTTGTATTTTTAGTAGAGACGGGGTTTCACCATGTTGACCAGGTTGGTCTTGATCTCTTGACCTCGTGATCCACCCGCCTTAGCCTCCCAAAGTGCTGGGATTACAGGTTTGAGCCACCGCGCCTGGCTTGGACTACTTCTTATGTCTTTTTGATGACCTTTCAATTTAGAAAGTTAAAAGCATTCACAGGTTTGAAATGTTAAAATACAACAAAAGAAGTTTCATTTAATAGCTGAAATGGTAGATTCATAACCAAAATTCAAAATTTTAGGTTTCTCTGATTCTTTAATATTCTTTTAGTTTTCTCTAGATTTTAGATTTCTAAAATATTTTAGATTCTCTATGCTAATTATTTACCCCTTGACCATGAAGAATCTCAATCTTGTTCATAGCACTTCATGGAACAAAGGTTTTGTCAATCCTGAGAAATCGTTATGCCATCCTAACATATAACTCCCTGAACTTGACCTTATTCTCCTTCTCAGTAACAGGCAAGTCAGGCAAAACCCCTTGCTTTGAAATGTTTTCAAAGTGAAGGTAAAATCTAAAACTATATCTAAAACCAAGTGAACAAGAAAGGGAAGAAAAATAAAAAGGAGGGATAGAAAAGATGTGAAAGTGTGTGGGAAAAAAATTCATGAATGTCCAAAAAATGCACTATATGTATGTATGTGTGTGTGTATATATACATGTGTGTATGTGTATATATATGTATATATACATACACACATGTATATATACACACATATAAATATACATACACACACACACACACACACACACACACACACGTATATATGTATGTGTATTTAGATGGAATCTTAGTCTGATGCCCAGGCTGGAGTACAGTGGTGCCATCTTGGCTCACTGCAACCTCTGTCTCCTGGGCTCCAGCGAGTCTCCTGCCTCAGCCACCTGAGTAGCTGGGATTATAGGTGTGCGCCACCATGCCTGGCGACTTTTGTGAAGACACACAATGTTTTAAAGTAAAGGTGTTTCAATGCTGTGCATCTTGCAGCTAAAAGTGCTTTTCTACTAACTACTATAAGGAACAATCATTTTCTGGGAGACAGACTTTTTGTAATCCTATGGTTATTTGCATAAAGAAGCTACATGTTATGCATTATGTAGGGTCGGTGAGTAAAAAATATTCAGGCAATATAGGGCACACTTAATCATCTAGGCTCAGTAAGTGGTTGTTTTGAAACTGTAATATTTCAAATAAAAAAGGTCTTGGAGCTCACGCCCAAAAACATGCACTTTGAAAACATTTCCTGGATCAAACTAATTATTCAAGCACCTCTGCATTCCCAGCAAGAAAGCAAAAGTGGGAGTATCTAAGCATGGCCATGCATGTATGCTTGTGATGATTTTCCAAAGAGTCTGTCATAAATTCCATCCCTGAATTTATTTCATGTTTGCATGCTTAGGCAATGATGAATTATTGAAAAAGCACTGCATTTTTAAACTGTTCTCTTTTTCACAGAGAGGGATGGATTGACGGAGAACACACACATATATATATATATATATATACAAAGTTTCTTTCTCCATTACATTGAGAAGATACTATAAGAATTTGGCATGAAATGAAGACTGCTGTGAATACAAAACAACAATACTTCCTTTAAGGAAAATCTGGCAAGACCACTCAGTTTCAATATGCCCTTTTCAGGTATATCCTTCTTAATAATTTTCAAATGATAATTTTTTCATATTATAGTTTATCTTTTCAAATAGTTTTCAAGTTGAGAGCAACCTAACTTTCTTTTAATTGTTCTTCTCATTCCTGTAATGTAAACTACTGAGGTACTTCTTTAGGGTGAGACCCTGAACCTTTAAAACGGACCCACTTTGGGAAAAGTTGCATAATAAGCACATTGCCAATGCACACTCAACAGAGTTGAATGATGCGCTCTTCCTAAGGCAATCTGATGGCGTCTCCATTTCCAGGCTGGGTTCTCCTGTGGTGCCCAGTTTAATGGCTGGTCTTGGGGACTCGGTTCTAAGCAGAGACTGGGCGTTCACTGACCTTTTGGTGCTTGTGCTGGAGATAGGCAGGTAGTCCATGACAGCAATGTACACATACTGCTTGGCGTCATCTATCACACTGTAGATGGCATCTATGTCAAAACTTCTGTTTTTAGGGCAAAAGAGTTTTGGAGAATTCTGCGAAGACACAAAAGCCAAACGTTTAGTGTCCTAATTTTTGGCATCTGGGGATTTCTGTATTTCTATTGTTTCCATGGACCTTGGTCTGTAACTATATTTTTGTAAAGCTAATTTCTTTTTTTTTTTCATCAAATTAGACAAAGATATTTTCAATCTTATCAAAGTTGAATAAAGATCAAAGTGTGGTGGGACACATCTCCGGTCTGTTTTGGAGAGAATCCTTTTCTTATTATCTGACGCATTTTGATTTTTAATTTTTATGTATTAAAGATTTGATGGATACATAGTAATTGTATATATTTATGGGGTACATAGTAATGTTGTGATTCATATAATGTATAGTGATGAGATGGTAATTAGCATATCTATCATCTCAAGCATTTATCATTTCTTTGTATTGGAAACATTCAATATCTTCCTTCTAACTATCTGAAACCATATAATATAGTTAACTACAGTCCTATGGAGTGGGATCCCCATTCCCCAGGCCATGGACCAGTACTGGGCTGCATAACAGGAGATGAATGACAGGCAAGCAAAGCTTCATCTGTATTTACAGACACACCCCTTGCTCGAATCACCACCTGAGCTCCGTCCCCTGTCAGACCAGAGGCGGCATTAGATTCTCATAGGAGCACGAACCCTATTGTAAACTGCACATGTGAGGGATCTAGGTTGTACGCTCCTTATGAGAATCTAATGCCTGATAATCTGTCACTGTCACTCATCCCTCCCAGATGAGACCATCTAGTTGCAGAAAAACAAGCTCAGAGCTCCCACTAATTCAACATTATGGGTAGTTGTGTCATTACTTCATTATATATTACAATGTAAGAATAATAGAAATAAAGTGCACAGCTGGACGCAGTGGCTCATGCCTGTAATCCCAGCACTTTGGGAGGCTGAGGTGGCTGGATCACTTGAGGTCAGGAGCAAGACCAGCCTGGCCAACATGGGGAAACCCCATTTCCACTGAAAATATAAAAATTACTGGGATGTGGTGATGCACCCCTGTAGTCTCAGCTACTCAGGAGGCTGAGGCAGGAGAATCACTTGAACCTGGGAGGCAGGGGTTGCAGTGAGCCGAGATCACACCACTGCTCTCCAGCCTGGGCGACAGAGCAAGATTCCGTCTTAAAACAAAACAAAACAAAACAAAACAAAAGTGGACAATAAATGTAATGCCCTTTGATCATCCTGAAAGCATCTTCCTGACCCTGGTCCATGGAAAAACTGTCTTCCACGAAACCAGTCCATAATGCCAAAAAGGTTAAGGACTGCTGCTATAGAACACTGGAACTTATTCTTCCTAGCTAGCTGTTATTTTTATATCCATTAACAAATCTTTCCTCCTCCTCTCTTTCCAGCCTCTGCTATCCTCTGCTCTACTTTTTACTTAGGAGATAATTCTTGCTTTCAATGCATACACTTCTTTTTGGAGGATCACTCCATCTTTAACCTTACACAATTCTGTCATTCATAGCTATTAATTTTCTCAGATGTTACTGCACACACACATGTGCACACACACACACATACACACACCTCACATGGCAAGCTATTTACCCCAGCATTTTCATTTCATTTGAAAGGTGATGATGTGGGCGTGAAAATGTTTCAAACTCAAAATCTGAAAAAAAAATTGAAAAACCAATTGGACTTTTTAATTTCTTTCTCCAAAATCTTTCAATGAGTTAGGACAAGAAGTGTTGATTGTTGCAAATAGGTTATTAGTAACACTGCAGACAATTCTAAGGGAGTTATTAAGATGCTCAAATTCAGCAGGAGAGTCAGAGAAGAAGGATGCTCTGAAACATTTAAGCAAAATGAAAAAAAGAGGCAGATTCTGCTGGAGGTATTTTTCTCATGTTGCTTGAGGTGGTTTTCATCTTATAAAAATACGGTGTTTGTAGACACAGTTGCTGAAGAAAGGGAAAAATATGCTTGGTTTTCTCATCATTTTTCCACTGAACAGAACTGAAAATAGTGTTTCCCATAATTCCTGTCTTACTTTGACAAGCAATACACTGTGACAAGTCTACGGGCATAAATAATGCCAGGATGTTTAATACCGAAAGGATGAATAAACAAATTTTTGGAATTGCCTGGAATGAATGGTAGTTTTGGGCATTCAGAGTCCTTCCTTGCCAATTATGTCTGGAACAGCTCCCTACACTGCACAGTAGGAATCTCTGCCCCAGCGTAGAGGTTTGTGAGATGAAGCTGTTGGGCTGGACACCCACCTTAGAAGGGGAGCAGGGGTAAGGAAGGAGCATGCTAAAGATCACACACCTGCCGGGTTTCCTCACACAGAAAGTCCTCCTGGCAGGTGACCATGAGCAGAATGAGGGCTTTTTTTTGTTTGTTTGCTTGCTTTGTGTGTGTGTGTGTGTGTGTGTGTGTGTTTGTTTTTGAGATGAAGTTATGCTCTTGTTGCCCAAGCTGGAGTGCAATGGTGCAATCTCAGCTCCCCACAACCTCTGCCTTCCGGGTTCAAGCAATTCTGCCTCAGCCTCCCAAGTAGTTGGGATTACAGGCATGCACCACCATGCCCAGTTATTTTTGTATTTTTAGTAGAGACGGGGTTTCTCCATGCTGCCCAGGCTGATCTTGAACTACTGAGCTCAGGCAATTCACCCGCCTCAGCCTCCTGAAGTGCTGGGATTACAGGCATGAGCCACTGCGCTCAGCTGGATGAGTTTGTTTCTTAAAAAAATAATTCCAACTTCTATTTTAGATTCAGGGGGTACAGGTGCAGGTTTGTTACATGGATATATTGTGTGATGCTGACGTTTGAGGTACAACTGATCCCCTCATCCAGGTAGTGAGAATAGTAGTATTCGACAGGTTTTCTACCCGTGACCTTTTCCCTCCCCGCCATACGAGTGGTCCTCAGTGTTTAGTGTTGCCATCTCTATGTCCATGACTATCCAATGTTTACCTCTCACTTATAAGTGAGAACATGATATTTGATTTTCTGTTCCTGCATTGATTTGCTTAGAATAATGGCCCCTAGCTGCACCCATGTTGCTGCAAAAGATATAATTTTATTATTTTTCATGGTTGTATAGTATTCCATGGTGTATATGTACCACCTTTTCTTTACAGGATGAGTTTTTGATCATTTAAATTAGTTTTTTCTTTTGGAATGAGGATGAATTTCAAGTTTGTTTTTGACATGGAGTTTTACTCTTGTCGTCCAGGCTGGAGTGCAATGGTGCGATCTTCGCTCACTGCAACCTCCACCTCCCAGGTTCAAGTGATTCTCCTGCCTCAGCCTCCCAAGTAGCTGGGATTACAGGCTTGTCACCACACCCAGCTAATTTTGAATTTTTAGTAGAGATGGGGTTTCTACATGTTGGTCAGGCTGGTCTTGAACTCCCTATCAGAGGTGATCCGCCCACCTGGGCCTCCCAAAGTGCTGGGATTACAGGTATGAGCCACCACATTGGCCAAGTCTTTGTGTTTTAAAGGGGGTCCTACACTCCTCTTTCTTCAGCACACAGATACACAGATGTGCAATTTGTCACCAAGGCAGAAAGCTTGTGCTTCTGCAGTGTTTCCAGGGTCTGTCCCTCCTCTTACTTCTGATCACTCAGTAAGTTTCCCTCATTCAGGCACTAGTGCGGCTTGCAGGGATGTTCTAACACCTTTCTAACTCATTGCCTTACCTCCAGGATGTTTAAAAGCAAATATACATCACTCCCAGGAAGAACTGACTCCTGGTTTCTCAGAATCCAGATTGAACTCACTGGGAGGGGTGCATCCATGGTCCTGTGTCTCTGCCTCCTTCATTTGCCAGCTCCCATCCTGTCTGTGCCCGAAAAGCAAGTAATTTATAGTCCATAGCTGTGCCCTCATCATGTCTGACTCTGGGCATCTCTGCTCATGCTGGCTTCTCGGCTGATGTGTCTTTACTTTTGCCTATCAAAGCCCTCCTAATTTTGTTCTCTAAATTCCAGCTCAAATGTGATCTCCTTCATGAAAGTGTTTTCAAATCTCCAATCAAAGGTTGCTTGACCCAACCCTGTACTTCCATACTATTTATTTCTTTTGCTTTTTCTTTTTAACCATCATAACCATTTTAAGAGTACAGTTCAATGGATTTTAGAAATTCTGTGTTACTCGTTTTCCTATGCCATTAAATGTTCAAATTATTTAATGCCCTTAGCCTGTTGGGTCTGCTTTAAAGGTTCTTTGGTTAATGTGGAGAAGCTGAGGATCTTAGCTCCAGATTGAACTTGTAGAAGGTCAAGTCTGAAATGTGTCTAAACACTCACGTTTCTGTTTCAGTTAGAACTTCCTGAATTTCACTGCATGCTCCAAAACTGGATTTTGGTTTTGGGGAGGAACAAATTGTAGGCAGAGTCGTTTGTGGTCACGTTCCTTTGCTATTATCTTACAAGTACGGATACAGTGGCCATAATTTTAAGGAAAGAGTATGGGCTTGGCTGATACAGGTCAGACTCCAGCACTTAGAACCTGGGGCATCTTGGTATGTCCCTTTCACTTTTTGAACCTCTATTTCTGTTTCCTAATGGGGGTTAATGATAATAACACACCTTCTATACTGGTTTGCCTTAGAGCTCAAATAAACGAACAGCCAGTTCACTGGCTGGGTTCTGTGCCTGCTTTCGTTCAATCAGCAAATATTCCTAAGTACCTGCAAAATTCCTAGGCTCTGTTCTAGGAAGGGGATATATGTCAGTGACCAAGACAAGATCCCTGCTTTGTGGAGCTTCATTCTAGCACAAGTTACATGGCATTCATCTGTCCATGTGTTTGGCCACTTGCTTGTGTGTTGCTTGGTTGTGTATCTCTGGCATCTTGTCATGCACATGTAATATACTCAACACATACTTGAGGGATGAATGTGAAAGTGCTTCATAAATTCACAAATGTTGGAGGTTTGTCTGTTGTAGTCTGTTGCTTCAATCTGTGTATTTACAAACGTGAGTGAACAGATCTTTATAAGCACTTACCCGCTTTAGTGCTTC